TCAACCCATGAAAGAGGTTTAAAAGCCTAAATGTTCAGCATATGAAAAGGGGGCGTCTCCCATGACTAGTCTTTAACAACTATGAAAATCAAAGAGAAACCATCTAGAAATAGAGAGGAAAATTCTCCTGTCCTATAGCCCTCACATAGTCAAGGCACAGTATTTCAATTTGAATAAGCAGAAACCAAAGCTTGAAGACTGGTACATTCTGTTGGTCAGCACGGCATTCATCAAACTGTTTACTAATAGGCACTTGGTCAGCACACCAGTCATCAAACTGTTTAAGCACATCATCATCTATTTTCTGGACAGTTGTGTCTGTAGCATAGGTTCTCTTCAGGGGAGTAATCATACATGTACATAGAATAGTGGATACATGTTGTAGATCTGGGACATTTGTTGCTTGCTTTCTTTTTCTAAACAGGGTTTTGATATGGTGTAAGCCTTTAAGAAGTCAAATGCAAAGATTAATTATTGCACCTTACATCAAAAAGGTATCTGATGTTATCCAGAAAACTGAATTACATTCATTTGTTCAACCCATGATAGAGATTTAATAACCTAAATGTTCAAGGTATGAAAAGTGGGCGTCGCCCATGATTAGTCTTTAACTATGATGAAATTCGATGATAAATCATCTTGTTATGTTTGCAAAATTTCTTCCCCATGAAAATAGCACTCTAAAACTGTAGTATGACCATATTCAAAGAAATTTTTTTATGAAAAAAATATTTCGATATCTCCCCACCCCCATGGGATTTGGTGGGAGGGGGTACTTACTATTTTTTGATCATTCTAGTGGACCACAAAAATGGCTCTGGCTCTTAAATCAAAGGGAAAGGTATTCTGATGATATGTGGAAAGTTTCACGCTTCGTTCCATGAATGAACTATTTTTGCACTATTGATCTCGCTATAAGGTATTTCTCTTGTTTATACATTTTCTTTACTGTTCTATACACTCTGGTTTTAGATGGTATATTTTCAGCTGCATTGATTTTTTGAAAGAAAAGTTCTTGATATTTTTATTTATTCTTCCTGACCACTTTTCTCCTACTTATAATTGCACAAATATATCTTATTTTATAAAATAATGAATCAATCTTGTTCATAGTAGTTGGTTGGTTGGTATGTAGTGTGCCCCATTTTATTCCCTTACACTGTTAAGATTTCATGTATATACCTCTACTACTTAACTTTTACGGTTGCTATAGTAACCAAGGTGGTGACGCTATGGTCCGTATCATTTTGTAAAAGAAAACTAGTAATATATAAAGAACAGTGATACTACTAGTACAGGACAGTGATACAAAGTCCTTTAAGGCCCACTTTGGGAATTTTCAACATTTTTGGACAAAATAAAGACTTACATTTAAATTTCATAGTATGTCCAATGTATTGATAAGAACCTTATCTTTCATTTGACACCAACAATAGCTTAAATGGACCACATCAAAGCTTACAATAAATTATCAAAAAATATTTTCGATCTGTCAAGCTATATATCAAGTTCTTATCTTTGTCTTTGAAAGATGGCAAAGTTGTTTGTAAATTACATGATACATTAATTTTTATAGAAGTGTCGCCATCTTTTAAATCAATAGTAATTTAGAACATGCACTTTGTTTAACATGTGCAATGTGCATGCATGTCTAATGATCTCTGAGCTTCCAGATAATTTTTTCTATGTGAGCTTTTTTTCATGCATGGTTTAATATTAAAGCAGATCAAACTTTGTGTCATATTTGAGCAAGTGTGTGAGTAACATATTTCAATGAATATTTTTTCTTTTTTCTTCTAAATTAAGTATAGTGTGCCTTTAAGTTAATTTAGGCTCACTTGATGTCCATGCAAATAAAAGCAATAATTTACTTACATTTTGTGAATTGTGTTGTATTTGGTCTATATTTAACGTAACAGAGTAGTGCTCGATGATTTATTCATGATTAAACGAATTATTAGTTGATACATAAATAAAGGGGGGGGGCACTAAAAACTAGCTTTCGAATGATGCTGGTTTTTAGCCTCTCCAAGGGGACATTCAAAACTTCAAGGGAGACACTTAAAACTTGGAGTTTAGGCCGACGGACAAGCCCCCAGGGTTAACTGCCCCATTGACACTGGCCACTGGGGACACTTATATCTGTTACACCGGGATCCACCTCAAAAGGTGCCAAGTGAAAAATTGTGAGTTCAGCGCCAATGTCTTAAACAATTCCTACATCCTTCAGCATCTTAAGTGGTAAAACTTGAAACTTCGAAATTAATGATTTGTATTTTTTGCAAAGCTCAGAAAGTATTTCTTAAGCTTGACCTAACAGACTGATCACTAAAGTATTGTGTCTTGACTTAAAATCTAAATATTTAGAGCATGCCCTGCCATATCTAATAAGCAGGGATACATAGACCCCATATGCTGGGTTTAATGGAATACAACTGTCTAAATGGGGAAAATTCACAATATCAACGTTGAAATCGTCTCGTTTATCATACAATTTACAATATATACTGTTGTCTTGTTCAATGTTAATGAGAAGGTCAAGATAAAGCGCATTCATGTTCGATCCATTGATCTTTTTAACTCAACTCGGAAGGGTATATCTCATTTACAAAATCTTCAAATCCAGGGTTGTCCAAACTCAACAGGTCATCTATATACCTATCTGTTTTAATAAAAAGTTTAGCTATGTGGAATTTTGTCTTATCTTTCATCATCTTTTGCAAAATTTATATTCATACGATAATAGAAAAAGGTCTGCCACAAGAGGAGCACAATCTGTCCCCATTGGTATTCTTATATTTTGACGTTCCAAACTTTACATAAATGTTATCAATCAAAAAGTCTGAAACCTCACAAAGTTGTACTGCAGTAAAAGAAATATACTTTTCATATTGATCACTGGAAAAGAAAGCCCTATTTGAATTACAATTTACAAATTTAAATCTACTTCCTTTCATTGTGTTTTTAATGATACCAAATATTTCCTTTTTCAGTTTGTTATGAGGAATTGATGTGTAACGTGTGGAAAAATCCAATGTGGAATTACATTTAACTTTCGAATAATTTGGTTGATCAAATTTAGATAAAAGGTCCTTCGAATTTTTAAGGATCCACATAAGGTTAATCCCAGAATTTCTAAAAATGGCATTACAGTAAGACTCCCTATTATTTTTAACAGCTTGGAGACATCTAGTCAATAGCCAAGAAACCTTTTTAGTAGAACTAACCCTAGAACCAGCAATAAATCTAGATTTATAAGTGTCATTAGCATCAACCTTAACAAACGTCTTATTACTTGCATTTTTGTTTGAAATGTCCAATAGAATTGATTTATCATGATGTTATCATCAGCTCCAATAGACAAAATCAGAAAAAGCTACAACTACAGTATTTCTACCATATGTGTTATCTTTAGAATAAAATTACGCTATCTTGCATTATTATAGTTGTTAAAGCTATTACATGAACATTCTAACTCTACTATATAATAAACAATTTACAAGGGGGTTACTAGGGGGTGCCCCCCCCCCCCCTTCGTGTGACTATTTTTACCTTAGTGTTTTGGGGTTAATGAACGACACAAATGGTAGATTATATCTTTCAAACGTATAGCTTTCAATTTGCCATCAATGCGGTTTCATATTTAATTTAAAAATGTGTTAACATGATACAAATTTTAAACAGATAAAGTTGTTTAACTTTGACAGTCCTTCATAATTAAAGTACAATTTAATTTTTTTATTTTCCTTAAACAAAGTCACTTGTGTTTCCTCATGATCACTACCGCACTTCATGTTGCATAAGGTTTCAAACTCAAGAGTTCTAATAAATATATTGATAGAAGAGGAATTATTCACGTATTTTATTATAATAAATATATGATTGAAAATTACCATGACATCGGTGTAGTCAGGGATCATACCTGCCAACCTATCCGTTTTTTACGGGAATCTACCGTAAAATTTTTGTTTTTCCGTAAAAAATGACAAACTACCGTAATTAACAGTATTCTTGTTCAAACTACAGTAAAATCTACCGTTATTATTTGGAAATTCTGAAAAATTGAAGTCTTCCCAGATCTCATATTGCCCTTGTAATATTCCATTACCAACCCGAAAATAAATAGGTGTCGGCACGTCTGTGACAGTGGATATTGCTTACTTAGTAACTAAGTAGGCTAGCGTGCAATCAGTCAACACACTGGGGAGTATCATGATGTAAAAACACAGTGTTCAACTGCTACAGGTTCTACTGTAGTTATAAAAACACTGAAGTATTCAAATTGTTAATCTGTTTATGAAAGAGTTCCATGAATGCTGTGTTAGAAAAACATACTTTATTATTTATTCATTGAAGTGTGTCAAAATCTATGCAGAATCAGTTTTTTTAAATCTACCGCAAAACTACCACATTTTTTCAAAATCCTCCGCAAAGACTACCGCAATTTTTTTAAATCTACCGTAAAACTACCGCATTTTTCAGTATCTACCGCAAAACGACAGTTTTTTTCAAAAATCTACCGCAAAAACTACCGCATTTTTTCAAAATCTTCCGCAAAACTATCGTTTTTTCAGAAAATCTACCGCAAAAACTACCGCATTTTTTAAAATCTACTGGAAAACTACCGCATTTTACAAAATCTCCGACAAAACTGGTTTTTTCAAAAATCTACCGCAAAACAACCGCATTTTTTCAAAATCTACCGTAAAACTACCGTATTTTTCAAAAACTTCCGAAAAGGTACCATTTTTTCAATAATCCATTTAAAAATCTACCGTAAAACTACCTCATTTTGTCGAAAAATATCGCAAAAACTACCGCATTTTGAAAAAATCGACCGCAAAAATACCGCAATTCAAAAAAACTACCGCAAATTTTTGGTCTTAGGTTGGCAGGTATGGGAATGGAGGCTTGTCAATTTTAAGATCCTGGCTATTCACTATGCACCTGATGAAGAAAAACATGTTTCAAGAACCATTTCTATGGTCTATTCAACTTACCTATTTTACACAATATCAGAACCATCCATCCTACTAATCCATACATAGGCATGACTTTACCTCAGCCCTGTAGCAGTTTGTAGTTCGATACCTGGCTGGTCAGTGAATAAGTGAACTGTAGATATTATCTTATATGCAACCAATATCAGGTTTACTTAAAATGAGGAATCTATATAAGTCATCGGCTGATATCTGTGTCTACAGTTATCTTCAAATTCTGTCAACCTGTGCACTGGCGGATCCAGAAGTAAACAAGGGGGGAATTGTTGAGTCGGAAAAAACGTTTCCGAAAAATTTTTTGGGGCCTTAATACTTTTTTCTGCCCACATAAGGGGGGGGGGGTTCCTGGATCCGCCAGTGCTGTGAATATTAAATCGAATACTTTTTATCTAATACTTTAAAATCATCAAAAATCCAAAAGATCACTCAGGTTCCTGGATCCGCAAGTGCTGTGAATATCAAATCGAATACTTTTTATCTAATGCTTTAAAATCATCAAAAATCCAAACAAGCCACGGGGTGAACAGAATCGCACCCTTGAACAGAATACACTTTTCGGGATGGAAAATTCAAAATGGCCACCTTAACATTTACCCAGACTGCCTTAAATTAATCAGTTCTAGACTTCCCATAGTAACATCTCTAAAATTTTAGGATGAATCCTATAAACAACCCTCAAGAGACACGTTTTAAGGTATAAGTTCACAGTGTATCAGCTTTTTTTCTACAATTCAGATTTTCCTGAAAAGAATCCTAGTAAAAGATATACTGATGTATTACAAAATATGTGAAAATTGGAAAGATTGACCGTTTAGATATTTTTTAAAAAAATGTTTTAATTTAACATAACTCTCAATGGGAAATTCTTTTTATTTTTTAAAAAATCCCACAATTCAGATTTTCCTTAAAATAATTGGGACCATTCTATGTTGATTCGTCGTATACAGTGTAAACGAGTCAAAATGTAGATTTGTACGCAGTGTAAAAGTACAACCCCAGCATGCAATATCTGCTACTGCTATACACAGCACATATCAAATTATTTTTCACGCTGTAGCTGTTATATAATTTTAATGATCATATACATTGCAGAAAACTCTGGGAAACACTGTCATCTTATTAAATAAGGCTTTACCCCCCCCCCCCAAACGTAATTAATTACATTTTTTGACATATATTGAAATATTGACCCAACTACTAACCTGAGCATACATGTACACTACATTACTACATGCACAGATTAGGCCTTTCAAAATAAGTATATGTTGACATTCTGATGAAAGGCCTCATATTAAAAACTACAAAACCTTTACTTATTAAGTTTTTTTTATTAAATAGAAAAAATACACAAACACATACTGACAAGACAAGTGACACACCTCTTCAGTTCAGAAAACCTTGTTATTGACAATACTCGAAGCTTAAATACTATACTCTAGAAACTCATTTTACTACAATATAATCTAAGATCAAAGTTGTAAAATAAAAAATATATTAAAATTGTAGCTACAGCTTAAAGATACCAAGTACATGTCACTAGTACCTCATATAGCATGTAGCATGGCTGCCTTAACACTTACCAAGAATGCCCAAAACCTAATTGTTCTAAACTCTCATCCAAAATGGTTGCCTTAATACATATCCAGAATGGCCAAAAACGAATCAGTTCTTCTAAACTTTCACAATGTATAAACATCCCTGAAAATTATGACTTTTACCCAGAATGCCGAAAAACGAATGAGTTTCAAACGGTTTGGCTGGAAACTGTAGACAAGCCTCGACAGACAAGATTTTAGGACGGAAAATCCAAAATGGCCACCTTAACATTTATCAGACAAGATTTTAGGACGGAAAATCCAAAATGGCCACCTTAACATTTACCCAGAATGCCGAAAAACTAATGAGTTATAAACTTTCATAGGTAGACACATCCCTGAAAATTTCAAATGAATCCCTCAAACGGTTTGGCTGGAAACCTGTAGACAAGCCTTCACAGACACGATTTTAGGACGAAAAATCCAAAATGGCCGCCTTAACATTTACAAAGAATGCCGAAAAACTAATCAGTTCTAAACATCCCTGAGAATTTCAAATGAATCCCTAAAACAGTTTGGCTGGAAACCTGTAGACAAGCCTTGACAGACAAGATTAGATTTTAGGACGGAAAATCGAAAATGGTCGCCTTAACATTTACCCAGAATGCCGAAAAACTAATCAGTTCTAAACTTTCATAGGTAGAAACATCCCTGAGAATTTCAAATGAATCCCTCAAACGGTTTGGCTGGAAACCTGTAGACAAGCCTTGACAGACAAGATTTTAGGACGGAAATAATCCAAAATGGCCGCCTTAACATTTACCCAGAATGCCCAAAAACTAATCAGTTCTAAACTTTCATAGGTAGAATCATCCCTGAGAATTTCAAATGAATCCCTCAAACGGTTTGGCTGGAAACCTGTAGACAAGATTATTCGGGACGCCCGCCCGCCCAACCGCCCTGCAAACTGATTACAATATAGCACCTTAGGGTGCGATAGAGATCACTGAAAGAATGCAATTGTATATTTCATTCTGCGTTATAAGGAATTGTGATATTGAGAATTGTTGTATTTTATAGAGTTAGTGAGAAAATAAGTGAACCAAAAAACACAACTTACTATGGATGGAAGCACCTTTTATAATATATTACAATACTGTATACTTGTCATATGACAACATCTATTGATATCCCTTTCAGAGTAGATATAAATTATTTGATTAATGGCCTGCAACGTCTCTCAGAAACTCTACTAGTGGTAGTACGAATTAATGAGCGTAATCTCCATTGTGTCAAAACTCAAGATTTTAATCATATGAAAAAAGAATGAAATCCACAATGCAAGGGTAATATTTTCTCATGTTCATTGAAGTTTCATTAACATTGCTATCTTACAGAGGGCTCTCAAGATAAAACCTTATATCGATATGTACACTCATAAATCAGAACTGAAGGTCTCCACAGCTTACACTTGAACCTAAGGCACATGACCATTTTTATCATTTTCAGTTGTTAGAGGTAAACTACCTGTAATAAGGGCAGTGTGGCTTATTATCATACTACATGAGCCAGACCTGCCAACCTTAAATGAAAAATTTGCGGGAGATATTTTGAAAATTGCGGTTCTTTTACTGGAGGTTTTCCAAAATCCGGTGCTTTTTGCGGGAGTATTTTTAAAAAGACGGGAGTTCTAACGGAGATTTTTGAAAAAAAAACTAGTTTTCGCTGTAGATTTTGAAAAAACGGGAGATTTTGAAAAACGATTCAAAGAACGGTAGTTTTTACGGTAGATTTTAAAAAAACGGTAGTTTCTACGGCAGATTTTTTAAAAAATGGTAGTGCTCGCGGTAGATTTGGAAAAACGGGAGTTTTTGCGGGAGATTTTTTTAAAAAGGACTTTTACAGTAGATTTTTTTTAAAAAGGTAGTTTTCGACGTAGATTGTAAAAAACTTGAGTTTTTACTGTAGATATTTGAAAAAACTGTAGTTTTTACGGTAGATTTCGGAAAAACGGGAATTTTGGAGGTATACTAAAAAATTGGAGTTCTTGCGGTAGAGTTTTGAAAAACGGGAGTTTTTGCGGTAGGGTTCTGAAAACCGGGAGTTTTTAAGTAGATTTTCAAAAACGGGAGTTTTTACGGTATATTTCTGAAAAACTGGAGTTTTTTCGGTAGATTTTTGAAAAAACTGGATTTTTGCGGCATGCTATGAAAAAAACTGGGTTTTACGGTAGATTTTGAAAAAACTGGAGTTTTTGCGGTAGGTTCTATAAAAACGGGAGTTTTTAAAGTAGGTTTTCAAAAACTGGAGTTTTTACGGTAGATTTCTGAAAAACTGGAGTTTACGGTAGATTTTTGAAAAAAATGGATTTTTGCGGTATGTTATGAAAAAAACTGGGTTTTACGGTAGATTTTGAAAAAAACGGGAGTTTTTAAGGTAGATTTTTGATAAAACAGAAGTTTGTGGTAGATTTAGACCCTATAATAGAAACCCTCCATTTCTTCAATAGTTTTCTTAAATGAAGGAACTGATTGCTCTCAAAGGACCGCGAGTTGTTTGTAGAATGAATCTGTGGAACTTTTTCATGCATTTCGCTTGTGTGTTTCCTCTAAAAAACATCAATACACTTTAAAACATTTTATTGACTATAAAATCGCACCATATAGGGATCCTAAGAAATATTTCTCATTTTCAAGGATTATCTATGGATTCAGGTTTTGTTATTTTTTCAAACTTTAGAGGGTTGAGAATCATTATTACATTATTACGATCGCTATTTGGCTTGTGATATAAAACAAAACAACCCAATAAGGTATGTATTAATGATTAACTTTCCTGCTATCTCAAAATCTGCTTGGAACTATACCATAAGATTACTATGGGAATATCATCAAAGAGAAAATTCTATGGATTAAGGAAGGGGTACCATTTACACAATTTGAGAATTTAATGGCATCAATGAAACTTATAAAAAACAGCATTAATAATAATATCATTCAAAATCGATCGTAATCAATGACTCCCAGCCCTCTGAAGTTTGAAAATAACAAGTCCTTGGTGTTAATCCATAGATAATCCTCGAAACTGAGAAATAGTTTTTGGGATTATATGGTGCAATCTTATGGTCAATAAAATGTTTTAAAGTGTATTGATGTTTTTTTTAGATGAAAACACTAGCGAAATAAATGAAAAAAACTACCCCGATTCATTCTACAAACAACTTGCGGTCCTTTGGCACATAAAGAGTTCTTTCAATGTAGGATCCTTTGACAATGTTCTAATAATTAAAGTAGTATATTTATAGAGTTATGGTCGTTTCAAAATATGCTCCAGATGTCGTCCATTTCGTTGAAGACTTGCAATCTTCGAGCAATCATGTTTCAAAACTGTGGATTCCCACCTCCCTAATTGTCATCAAGTTTTGAACTAGGTAGTGTGTGCCAAAACTCCAGAAAATCACAAAAACCTATGTTGTGGTGGCTTACTATGAAGAGACCCATTATCATTATAGATTGGT